GGGGACAGGAAGGGTAGTGGTGAGGCAACGCCGGTTGTGGAGCAAGACCCCCCTCGGGAGGTGTGGTGAGCTGAGTACGGTCTCAGCCCGGTTCAGTCTCAGCCCGGTGCGGTCTCAGCCCGTTGTAGGGGCAGCCAAGCCCCCTTTTGCCATCTGTCCGTGTGCCTTGGCACCCGATGAATCCCATGGGAAAGCGGGCAGGGGCAGAACCGGCCCTGAGCAAACACCCTGGGCAAACACAGGCCGCGGGCAGGATCCCGGCAGCGGGCGGGGCTGGCCCTGGCACGGAGCCGGCAGCGGCAGGAGCGGCACCGTGTCCCTCAGCCTGGCCTGGGCACTGCCCATCCCCTTCCCTCGACCCCCTCGGCATCATCCCACCCCTTTGTCCTCGCTGGGGGTCTTTGGGGTGGGTGTGTGGGTGCGCGCTGAGCTTCCCCCCCTTCTCCTCGCAGCGGGATGATCGCGGGGGATCATCCCCCGCGGCCCCGAGGTCCCTCTCCAGATGTTGGCATCGCTGGTGCATGCCCGGCACGCTGAGCCCCCCCGGCACGCTGAGCCCCCCGATCCTCAGCGCCCACCTAAGCCAGGGCCCCGGGGTGTCCCCGGGGTGTCCCCCCACCCCGCCATGGCGCTGGAGGTGGGGGTCGAGGCGCTGCTGGACCTGAGCTTCCTGACGGAGGAGGAGCGATGTGCCATCGCAGAGGTGCTGCGCCGCGACTGGCAGCTCCGCCGGCGCGAGGAGGGGCGCATCAGGTGGGCTGGGGGTCCCCTGCTCGGCGTCACCCTTGGGGACAGCGTGGACCACCCCCAGGAGTAGCCAGTGTGGGGTCTATCAGCTTTAGGGACAGCTGCTCCTCCCAGCTCCAGACCCATCAACCTTGGGGACAGCACGAATCCCCCAAAAGCAGCCACCTTGGGGTCTGTCACACTTGGGGACAGCAGGAACCCCCCCAGAGCAGCCACTTTGGGGTCCATCAAAGGTGGGGACAGCACAGCCCCCCCAAAAGCAGGCACTCTGGGGTCTGCCACCCTTGGGGACAGAGCAGTCCCCTTTTCCCCGGTGATGGGGTCACCCACGGAACCCAGCCAGGGTTAAGCCCCACGGTGGGTCACACCAGCCCTGGGGGTCCCAAACCCCCCGGGAGACAGTGGCCAGTGGCTCCCTTGGTTGGGATGGGCCCTGGGGACGGTGGTGTGTGGGGGCTGATGGCAGTGCCAGGGCAGGGGTCCCAACGCCAACCCTCCCTCCACCAGCAAGCTCCGCAAGTCGGTGTCGGACCCGGCGCGGCTGCGRGTGCTCACCGGGGACTGGTTCTGCGACGCCCGCGCCCAGCG